GTTAACAATAGGTGTTAATTAGGTGTTAACGATAACCATGTGATGTGAGTATCAGTCATATGGAGGCTGGGTTTAAAAGCCTGAATTTTGCCTGAAACTCTCAGACTGAAGAAGTCTCTTGGAGGAGAGACAAACATTTCATTAGAGAAGAACCCGTCTAGAAGACCTATACAATTTTTTGCTTTTTGATTTTTTACCTGGATTACTGAGGTGCATCAGGACATTAATAGCTTAACATTTCAAGACTGCAATTTAAATTGTTTTAGTCTTTTTTCAATAAACCACAGCTTTTCATAAGTCAACAAAACATATCTAATAATGACATTTTTATTGTCATCTGTGTTCAGGTGGAGGAAGCTTAGGATGGACTGATGGATGATTGGGATGGACCATACAGCTTTGATGACCTTGGAGTTAAACCAGAACATGTTGAAGTACCCCAAGTGACCCTGCAGCGACACCTGGTCGAGGAGAACATGGCAATGTTCCCATAGATGCAGTCAGTGTCTATACAGAGACAATGCAGCAGCTGATGCAGTGACCACCTGAACTGGATGATTTCAGATCAGTTCAGTATGTGAAAATGCTTGAAAAATCAGGAAGCTCAACAGATAATGTTTAACTGTCTTTATTACCTGAACTAACATTATAAACTTTTGTCAAAACATTGCATTGAAATGCCTTATGTGAACTTGTCCTTACTCTGATACTTTAATACCTCTCAAAAGCCATTTTAAAGGAACATGAAAATTCAACCTCAAATTAATATAACGCCAACCTCTGCTGTTTGGTCTGGTTAATGATCTCCATGATGCGTGCAGCAGGGGTTCTCTCAGCAGGTTGTGCATCGAGCTGCCCTGGATGTTGATGAGGTCACTGCTACTGCCACTGGGGTTGCCATCAGAGTATTCTTACTTGAAAACAGAAATGAAATATGATCGTCCTTTTATGCTGATAATTGAACAGAGCACAGAAAATATCCTTTTTATAGGAAAGATTGTCAACCCAAACCTAAATAACCATTGTGGTCAGGTATAGCTGCTGTAATGATCTATAATTAAAGGAATACATTGACTGACTTAAATAAATTGTACTTGCAGTCATTAACAAAACAACTCAAGTTAATGTTTAACTGTCTTTATTCCTAGAACTAACCTTAGATACATTTGTCAATATAACATTGCATTGAAGTGCTTTTTGTGAACTTGTTACCGTTACTTCACCTCTCACAAGCCTTTCCAAAGTAAAATGGAAATTTAACTTAATGTGTAACTGTCTTTATTCACAGAACTAACAAATACATTTGTCAATAAAACATTGCATTAAAATGCTTTTTGTTGACATATGTCAGAGAAACTTCTTCAGATCTGTAGGTCTATATCCTGCTGCAGCCAGTCCTGCCATCGTGAAGTAACCTCATGTTCGCATCTTCAGCTGCAGCTCTTCATTTCATGTGCCTGTAATGAAGATGTCAAATTAAAAGAAACATTGGAAAACTATTCCTTTTTACCATGACTGTTAATACATGAATGCAATTAATCAAACAGCTACAATCAAACAATTATTTGCTCTAAAATCAGCTGTCTTTATGCTGCTTCTCTCAGCGTTCATTCTTGTCTTTAAATCTGTACAATCTGAGCTCCATAGAAATATGTGTTCTAATATCGACTGACGATCAGATTAAAACACAAATGTTAAATAAAATGATCTGTAAGAAATAAATGCCGTACAACACCAGAATTCTGGAGTGGGGTTTATTTGCCACCAGATTGACAAACAAAACCACACTGAATCAGAAACAGGAAGTCCCCTTATAAATATAGTCCAGGAATCTTCAATGCCTGAGTTCGCCCTCTGCTGGCCTACGGCTGAATCAAAGGCATTCAGACAAACAAAACCTCACTCTTATGTAATTACAGCTTTATAAATATGTGTTGTTTAATGATTCGGACATGTATCTACTCTATTTCAATTAACACATAATAGATAATAACAATAACAATGTTCTAATCAGAAACCCATTACACACTGGTGTCATTTCTGAAGTCAGTACTGATCTGTAATAATTATAAATTTCTTCATGAACAAAAAGGACTTGGCAAAGGATTCTAAATGGAAAAAGAGCAGCTTTATGTTAAAAACAGAAGTCTATCATTTTAATGTTTTCAGCTGAGGGGCTTTGATATATTTATTTGAAAAAATTATGGCAGAGGAAGTTCTCTGCACAGAAAAAAAAAATAATTTTACTGTTTTTTTAACCAAACAGACAAGTTTCTCCAGTAAAATTATTGTGTAATTTAAACACCTGGTTAAATTTAGAAGATATTATGATTAACTACAAGCACCTGAAGCTGACTCAGAGAACTGTGATTTTAGAAAAAAATAAGTCAAATGTAGACACGTCTTTAAGAGATGTGCCCCATCCTCCTCCTCCTCCTCACTCGCTGCGGTCCACTCCATCTGCGTGAGATACGGATTTTATGCGCAAATGACAGATATTTGATGCTCATTATACAAGTAACCATCTGAAGGGTTGACATGTATGAAGTCCCGGGCAAGTCAGAGCCACGCTGCGCGTGGACAGGTGGACATGTGCAGCAGCTGCAGTAAAACTGCCCCTCGCTTTAAAACCAGTCAGCTGATCTGTCGTGGCTTTGTTTTGCTCGTGAACACAGTGTTACAGGGGGAAATGCTGCAAGGTGCTTTTAGAAATATAATATATATAAAATACGACGTAATCCTATTACGTAATCTTATTTTAAGATATCAGGGCATCTTAAAATAAGATAGATCTTCGTGAATGCGACACTTATGAATCGCTCTCGCTAAAACACAGCGCAACCATAAACACGGACTCTCTGCAGTTTGGATGTTAATAATTGTAATGTAACCTAATATAATGAGAGGAAACAAGTCATTGTGTGAGAGCGGGTGCATTTTATAACCACCAAGGACAAGTCGCACAAAATGTGTCTTCTGCTGTGGCGTATGTTWAATCTGATATACAACTTACATGTTTACAACAATAAAAACAAAACTACTTGCGTGTCAGCTTAGCTTGTGCCGTGTTTGGTCCGGTTCGGTTCCTCTGAGCTTGTCAGCGAGCTGGACCCTCCGTCTCCCCTCCGTCTGGTGGCTGCTGCGGCTGTTTGCTGGAAAATCACAAGGCTTCTTCYTTTAAGTTGTTGACTGTTAAAAAACTCYTCAGCTAACACATGAATGAAAAAGATGACGATAATTCTTCAGCTTCTGGACAATTTTATTGCGAGACGTTGGGAACAGGTCCGAACAGCGAGATGGTAAAATGGACTCTAAACAAAGGGCGCGCACCCGCTCGAAAGTGCGCTCACATTCTTAAAGGCACAGTACACCACACTTGCTAACTTGAAATCTTACCTCGAGGGTTACGACACTCTGGAGCTGAGGCCGGCATTGCTGTCGTGGTGGGAGACAAGAAACCAGGCGAGTTCAAAGCTGATGCGGTTGACTTTGTTTCCAGGCCATCGGTAGCTTCTCTTAGTAGTTCTGGTACAGATTTGGACATGTTTTCCCGCAGTCTCTAAATATAATCCTCGCGCCCTCGTCTCCTGCGGGGAAGAAATCTACACCGCCTTGCCCATGGCTGTGACGTCACTCCCCTGCTCCGCTTCGGGGTTGTGAACATAGACCTTTTATATAAAGGCTAGATAAGTCATCCCCGCTGCCACCATTTGAGGACACCAGAGACTCCACTAGTGTTTTTATATACATCTATGATTGAGAAGTCATTTTAATTTTTTTACACGTTTTGCGGGGCTGGAGTGTGAAAAAGAAAAAGCACTTTCCTCTTTGTTTTCTCTGCAGT